AAGATTTTTTTTGTTTTTGTTTTTTTCGAGACAGTGTTTCTCTGTATTGCTTTGGAGCCTGTTCTGGAGCTCAATCTGTAGACCAGAATGGCATTGAACTCACAGAGATCCACCTGCCTCTGCTTCTCGAGTGCTGGGATCAAAGCATATACCACCAATGCCTGGCTTCCAGGAAGACCTTTTTTTTTGTTGCTGTTGTTTTTGTTTTTGTTTTTGTTTTTGTTTTTTTTCGAGGCAGGGTTTCTCTGTGTAGCTTTGGAGCCTATCCTGACACTTGATCTGGAGACCAGGCTGGCCTCGAACTCACAGAGACCCACCTGCCTCTGCCTCCCAAGTGCTGGGATTAAAGGCATGCACCACCAACGCCTGGCCCCAGGAAGACCTTTTAAGAGTCATATTTTACTGCTATGGAGTTATTCACTCCAGGTCACATAGCTAGGGAATGGTAGGGCCACTCTGACCTAACCACCACACCATCTGCGTTATGGCCTTGTCCATGCTTATGTAGGTTGGGCAGCATATTAGTTACGTTTGTGTTGCTGTGGCTAAATACATGACATGACTGCTTAAGGGAAGGAAGGTTTATTTTGGTCCATGTTTTAGAGAGCTTCAGCCCATCATGGCAGGAAATGCCTGGCAGAGCAGTTCAAGTCACTGGAGTGTGTTGGGGGGCTGCTCATATGCTGGAACAGGAATCAAAGTATGAGCCAGGAACTAGGGAATGGATCTAACCACAAAGTCTTGCCCCTACTGTCCTACTTCTTCATGCTAAGTTCCACACCCCCAAAACTGCACAGCCAGCTGGAAATCAAAACATGAGCCTATGGGCGCAATCCAGACTCAGGCCATAGCAGGGATAGATGAACATTATCCTGAGAGTGTGGAGGTCTGTGCACTTTTAGGAAGGACTGTGAGCATCATGGCCCAGGGGAAGGGAAACATTCTGTGTGGCTAAGGGTCTGGACCAAGGCCCTTGCTGACCCATGTCTTGAGGCACTGTGAGGAACACGCATGCTGGCATAGCACTGTCCTCACTCCCTAACCCTGACATATGCCTTAGACAAGTGTGTCTAAGAACCTATGTCTATGCATGCATGTGGAGGCCAGAGTGAGCAAGGTCTTCTTGCCACAATCTGGGGACACTGACTTTGTCACATGTTTTGTTGGGTATGGGATGTTGAAATTGAAGGAAGGTTTCTGGCTCCAAGAAACCAAGGAGAGATAAGGACTTAGGTGATGGGCTGGAGAGTTTGGTTGATAAAGTACTTGCTGAGGAAGCATGAGGACCTGAATTTGCTGGCCAGACAGATGGTCTAGCTTTTACAAAGTGTCTGAATCAGATCCCAGCATCCACACTGGACAGCTCACAACTGCCTGGGACTCTAGTTCCAGGGTATCGGATGCTGTCTTTTGTCCTCTGCTGGCACTGGTGTGTATGCTCTGCACACAAATTCATGCAGGTGTGCACATGCGCATTCACAAATGAATTTTTAAAAATATACAAGGTGGAGCGATGGCTCAGTGGTTAAGAGCACTGACTGCTCTTCCAGAGGATTGAGATTCAGTTTCCAGCACCCACCTGTCAGCTCAAAACTGTCTGTAACTCCAGTTCCAGGGGACCCCACGCCCTCTTCTGGCCTCAATAGGTTCTGCATGCACATGTTGCCCAGACATGCATGCAGGCCACATACCTGTACACATAAAATACAATGATTAAAAAATGAAAAAGAAAGAAAAGGGGGAGGATGATTGAGGAAAGCACCTGATGTTGATCTCTGGTCTCCACACACACACAAACGCATGTGCACCACCATGCATGCATGCACACACATATATACTACACGCGCGCGCGCGCGCGCGCGCGCACACACACACACACACACACTCAACCTTCTCCTACCTTGAACTTGGGGGTCTATTTTCCATAAGAACCCTCACGTTTGCCACTTTTCTGTGGTTGGGGAAGAAGCTGCTTTTGTCAGCATTTAGTATGTGCCAGGTGTTCCTGTGGCCCACCTCATCCCACCTTACCACTCGCTGTGAGAAGACTTTGCTCCTGTTCACAGCGACAGCACCCAGCAAGGGGAAGCAACCGACCTCCAGGCCAAGGGTCTCTGCACTCTTCCCATGGCCCCACACTGCTTCCTCTGTTCCCTAGGGGCAGGGACCTATGCTGCTTTGGAAGCTCAGAAGACCTGGAGTGCTTCTCCACAGAGGACATTTATGTCAGGGTATTGGCAGTCATGAACTTACACTGTCCTGTGGGTTACAGAATCCTCCACGATGAGAAGGGGTGGATCAGGGGCTTGTGAATGTAGTGTCCCCGCCCCTGCCCTCTGGGTTGATAGCTATTTCCTCCTTCAGCTCATTCCTCTCCTGCCACTTGCCTGGTGCCCAGTCTTGCTGCTTTCAGGAGCTGCTAGCCTCCCTGGCTCAACCCTTGCTTACTCTGTTGCTTGGTAAGTAGTCAGTCTCCTTGGGGCTGGGAAGCCTTGGTGCCCTCTCAGGACTAGAGAGAGGGCTGCTCCTAGCTAGGATGACAGGGGGATGAGCTTAGGAGCCTGGTGAGGGCTGATGCCCAGAAGGAATGCTAGCTAGATGGTAGACACAATGGTGAACTGTCCACTCATGGCCATCATGCACAGCCGTCTCAGGTGTGGGGACAGGGTCACACAGTGACACTGCTTAGAGGAACTGACAAGGTCACCCAGCTGGAAGCTGAGGAACTGGGATCTAAGCTCAGGACTTTGCAAAGCTGGGGTTCCCACTACAGCAGGGTCGTGACAATGTCTCCATGCAGCCTGAGGGCTTACACTGGGTGGTTCCCAGGAATGTAGCGGCATTGTCCTCTGAGCATCCCACATGATATGGACACTACAGCTGACAGGGACCATCCCAGGGCAGAGAGAGTGGCTCGCACCTGCTTGCTGGGAGGAGAGCCTCAGTCTTCCTCCAGGGCACTGGCCCAGCTGCTGTGCCTCTCTGAACCTCAGTTTCCTCTTCTCAAGAGCTACTCTCATTGGATTAAGACGAGTGTGATTGCTCTGTAGATGCTAAAGCTTAGAAAGAAGGATCAGGAAGAATTCGGAGATTGCAGTCTGCCTGCTCCTGCTGACATAGCTCCAAGAGGTATCCTGTCAGGGAAATTCTAGGTTGGTGTCCCAGAACCCCACCCTAGGAAGGACAGAGCCACAAGGAAGCATCAGAGGATCCTACATTCCCTGGAAGGTCACGGGTGCTTGGCACAACCTGAGTTCTCACAGCCTGCTTTCATTTCCCGCCTTCTGCAGAGTCCACAACCTGATTCCCTCAGCGCTCCCTGACTCCAGCTTCATCACAGGGCCCTGGGTTTCTCCATGAGGCTGTGAGCGTGCATAGAAGCCGGCTTTTCCAGAGCGCCTGAGTCGTTGCTCAATGTGGCTATTGGCCGAGTGTGGGAGTGAGTGAATGGGGATGGGTTTCCTGGGACAGACAGGACTGCCGCTGCCCTCCCTGGGTCCCCAGAAACCTCATGTGATTGTTCCTCCCAGCCAGCTCTCACGCTTATCTCTCTTATCTTATTTCCTCTCCTTCTATCAGAGGAGGGGCCGGCTCCCCTGATCTCACTCCCAAACACACCCAAGCAGTCACCTCTGAGAAGACAGGCTCTCTAGGAGGAACTGCATCCAGGTAAGGCTTGGAGTGTTGGGCGATACAGACCTCCCATCTCATATGAGGGGCCACACCCATCCCTCTGTGTTCTGGGGATCAGGAAAAAGAGTCCTGCCTGGTCTGACCTTTGTGATCTTGGACAGGTTCTTAATATTAATCACAATGGTACTGATACAGTGCCTGCTTTATGCTGGTTCCCTTGTTTGTATGTGTGTATATGTGTGTGTGTGTGTGTGTGTGTGTGTGTGTAAGCCAGAGGTCAACCTTGAGTGTTCCTTAGGAGCAGTCATTCTAAAAAGATTATTATTTTAAAGTGTGTATGTGTGTGTGCACATGAATGTAGGAATATGTATGTGTATGTATAAGTCAGATGTCAACCTTGAGTGATATTGCTTAAGGAGCAGTTAATAAAACCTTAAAAAGATTTTTATTAGCCAGGTGGTGGTGGTGCACGCCTTTAATCTCAGCACTCGAGAAGCAGGTGGATCTCTGCGAGTTCAAGATCAGACTGGTCTACAAGTGAGTTACAGGACAGCCTCCAAAGCTACACAGAAAAACCCTGCCTCAAAACCAAACAAAAAAGATTATTATTTTAAAGTGTGTGTGTGTGTGTAGGTGCCTATAGAGGCCAAACACTGGTCCCCTGGAGAAGCCAAATGTGCTTTTCTGTGGAGCCATCTCTCTAGTCCCTCCCATGTCTTTTTGAGTTATGGTCTCTGGGACCTGGGGTTTCACTGATGAATTTAGGCTGGCTGGTCAGTGAGCCCCCAGGACCCACCTGTTTTTACCACCCTAGCAATGCGATTGCAAGCATATGCCACCATGCCCTACTTTATATATGGGTGCTGGGAGCAAATTTAGATCCTCTTCTATTTGTCCCATCTACTGCATACCCTTTTTTGCTTTGTTTGTTTGTTGAGATGGGGTTTCTGTGTGAAACAGTCCTGGCTGTCCTGGAACTCACCCTGTAGACCAACCAGCCTGGCCTTGAACTCAGAGATCCTAGCGCTGGGAGTAAAGGCATGCACCATCACTGCCTGACTACCTCACACTCTTTCAATAGTCCTCATTTTGTTGTTCCAGTAGTCATCCAAGCTGGGGACTGCTAGGAGAGACAGTAATGTTAGGACACAGGCTCAGGAAGGCTACACTGGGCTTGCCCAAAACTGCACTGGGGGAAGAGGGCAGCTGGGATGTTAGTATCTTGCCTTGCTCAGCCTCACTGATTCCCAGTGTCTATCCTATTGCCAGGCCGGACTGGCAGCTCTGAGATAGGTTCCTCTCTTGCCCAGGCTGCAGGCTTCTGGTTCCCGGGTACCAGGCTCAGCTCTCCTTTCTTCCATCTCACCATGGCCAACATCACACAGAAGCTGCTCTGTCCACTCTTGGAGGAGATGATCCAGCTTCCAAGCCACAGCAACTCTAGCATCCGCTATATTGACCACGTGTCGGTGGTGCTGCATGGGCTGGCAGCGCTGCTGGGTGTGACGGAGAACGGACTCATCCTGTTTGTGGTGGGCTGTCGCATGCAGCAGACGGTGGTCACCACCTGGGTGCTGCACCTGGCACTATCCGACTTGCTAGCCTCCACCTCCCTGCCCTTCTTCACCTACTATCTGGCAGTGGGTCACTCGTGGGAGCTGGGTACCACCTTCTGCAAGTTCCATTCCTCGGTCTTCTTTCTCAACATGTTTGCCAGCGGCTTCCTGCTCAGCGCCATCAGCCTGGACCGCTGCCTGCAGGTGGTGCGGCCGGTGTGGGCACAGAACCACCGCACGGTGGCGGTTGCGCACAGAGTCTGCCTGATGCTCTGGGCTCTGGCAGTGCTAAACACAGTACCCTATTTTGTGTTCAGGGACACCATCACTAGGCTGGTGGGCCGCATCATGTGCTATTACAACATGCTGCTCTTGAACCCGGGGCCAGACCACGAGGCCACATGCAACTACCGCCAGAAGGCCCTGGCAGTCAGCAAGTTCTTGTTGGCCTTCGTGGTGCCTCTGGCCATTATTGCCTTGAGCCACGTGGCCGTGAGCCTGCAACTGCGCCACCGCGGCCGCCAGAGGACAGGCCGCTTCGTGCGTCTGGTGGGGGGCGGACGGGCGGC